ACACTCCAAGCCATAAAAAAACCTAATTTATAAACTCTTGAAGCCTCCGCATTTGACTTGCTGATTGCGACAAGACCAGGTAAGTGTGTAAATCCAGCCGTTTTGATGGATAAATAGATTGAGCCCAACTGCTGGATTCGCCCGAGCCCTCAAAGAAACCACGGGGGATTGAATTCCCACCAAGCACCAACTTTTGAAAAGGGAGAGTGGTGAGTGTCAGCTTCGATGGTGTCCTAGCCACACTCAAAAAGTTTGGGCCTGCAGCTCTTTCGTGATGGGAGGGAAGGAGGGAAACAAGGGACAGGTGGGGGGGTTGTGATGGTTCTGTATTGGAAAAAGTAAGGCCTTTGGGGCAGGGAAGCCTTCAGAAGGAGTCTTGCAGGCTGGAGTCTGATGTTCGCTCAAAGAAATGGGTGTTTTTTAAGCGTGGGGGGGGGAATCCAAATTAGAAAGAAAAATATCTGCCTTGTTAGTCGGTTATTTGCAAGGGAAATCGATGGATGGATTGCTGTGTCTGCTGGAAGGAAGGTTGTGGGAGGGGGGGGAAGAAAGGAAAAATAAACCTTCACTCTTGTTGAAAGAGACAGAAGGAAAAAAAAGAAAGAAGGAAAGAAATTAGCAGCCGAAACAGTCAAGGAGGTTGGGGGGGAGAGGCAGGCAGCCTGGCGTGAAATTCAATTATAAGGTGGGGAGGTGGGCAAGGAAGCCAAGAGGCAACGGAGAGAGGGGGGGGAACCAGCAAGGAGTTAAACGTGAAGATGCTTCTCAAAAACAAGTTTTAAAGTTTTCGTTGCCGTTAAGGGCTCCGTTCCCAGGACATATTCACCCCACCCCCCAAAAGCTGGCAATGTTAAAAATTGGGTGACTGTGCTCCTGAGCACGTCCAAAGTGCATTTTTCGCCCATGAGCCGGGCAAAGGGGGCTGAAGCTCCCCTCCCCCCTTAAAGCATCCGCATGTGTGTTTTTAACCAGTGGTGTGAATTGAGTTGCTGTGGGTTTCCAAACAAGGCTTTGTGGCTTAGCATGCTGGGTCTATTGTGGTTTATTTGATAAACCAAATCCCGCCTTACAATATGTGGGTGTTAACAAGAGTCTGATCCCCCCCCCTGCTTTTAAGCTCTTTGGGGTGACTAGCAAGCCCCATCATTGAGTTTCTCCACCCTTTTTCTGGCTGTGGTGTGTGTGTGTGTGAGCCAACACAATTTCCCTTTTCTCCAAGGTCTCAAAAGCCTGGCCTAAGATTGAAACTAACCACTTTTAACCTGGGATTACACCTGCCAGCCTTCCTGAGGCCCACTGGAGCCAAGTTGGGCAACAGTGGGGGGTTTCCTGCAAGCAGGTATAAAAAGAGTGGATAGAAAAACAAAAAAGGGAGGGAGGGAGGGAAGAAGGGAGGAAGGAAAAGATTAATAGGTGGGAAGGAAGGAAGAGGGAAGGAAGGAAGGAAAGGAAAAGTGGGAAAGGAAAAGGAAAGGAAGGAAAATAGAGGAATGAAAGAAGAAAAAGGGAAGGAAGGAAAATAAATGAGAGGAATGAACAGAGGGAGGGAGGGAGGAAAATAAATGAGGAGAATGAAGAAAAAGGAAGAAAGGAAGGAAAATGAGAGGAATGAAAACAGGAAGGAAGGAAGGAAAATGAATGAATGAAAGAAGAAGAGGGAAGGAAGGAAGGGATGAAGAAAGGAAAATGAGAGAATGAAAAAGAAGGGAGGGAAGGAAGGAAAATAAATGAGAGGAATCAAAGAAGAGGGAAGGAAGGAAAATGAAAGGAATGAAGAGAGAGAGGAAGGAAGGGAAATAGAGGAATGAAAGAAGAAAAAGGGAGGGAAGGATGAAGAGAAGGAAGTGTCGAAAGGCTTTCTTGAGCATTTAAGGAACATCCTAAGATCCCCCCCCCCGTGCCCATCCCGATCGTCCATGGGGGGGCACTGCGCCCCCAAAAGCCCCACCATCACCAGCCCTGCCTCCCAGCCCAGTGGCAAAGCAGGTTTGCTTAAACTATGATGATCTCTTGGCATAACCATGATTTTAGGCGTGGTGGGGGTCAGTGGTGGGAGCCGTGGTGGGCGCTTCAGGCTCAAGGGAAGCCAGGTAGCCCCTTCCCCACCCAGAATCCCCCTCCCTAGGGGGCGTGGGCTCCTCCCACTCAGGGCGTGGCTTCTGACAGGTGTGGCATAGCATATCTGCCTCCCCCCATCAATCGTCTCACCTGTAAAGCAAAATCACCCAAGTGGAGGAGGGGTGGGGAACCAGGCCATCCCTCCCCCACCCGTCCACCAGGGCTCCTGCTGTACCTGTCAAGTACCCCCCCCATCTTGAAGGGCAAAGGGAGGGTCTGGAGGGGGCATCCCCTTTGGCTGCGCCCCACCCATCCACCTTGCCAGAAGAGATGCTCTGTTGGGAAAGACAGGTGCTCAGTTCTGCATATCGTCCCCCCCCTTTCCTCTTGTCTTCTCCTTCAGCCCCCCCCCCCTTTCTCTCTCTCTCTCTCTCTCTCTCCCTGGCAAGGCAAGAGGGCAGGGTGACTCGAAGCTGCTGCCAGAGGAAACGGTTCCTGCCTCTGTTGCATGTTAAGCACCTTCCCTGACGTGCCTGGAATGCGGAGGCCGGCAGAGAGGCCGGCGTGGAGCTGCCACCGAGGGGGTGGGGGGCAAAGGCAGAGAAGGACCTTTGCTGGGGAGGGGAGGGGGCAGGCAGGTCCTCCCTGGCAAGATTGGGCTGCTTCCTGTGCCCACTTTAGAGAGCCAAAGCTTGGGGGGGGGGGCTTCCTTTCCATCGAGGTGGCATCCGGTCCCCCGTTTTTAGATGGAGGAGGGCAGGAAAGGTTTGAGCGGGAGGGCATTTGAGGAGGGGGGGATGTTATAGCTCTTTCTAGCAATGTCATTTTCCTTCTGTACTTTTTATTATACAATTATTATTATTATTATTATTATTATTATTATTATTATTATTATTATTATTANTGTCTCCCCTGGTCCTTCTTTTCATTAAACTAGACCTACCCAGTTCCTGCAACCGTTCTTCCTACGTTTTAGTCTCCAGTCCCCTAATCCTCTTTGTTGCTCTTCTCTGCACTCTTTCTAGAGTCCCCGCATCTTTTCTACATCGTGGCGACCGCAAAACTGGATATTGTGTGTTTGGTGAAGAAAGGAGACCCCAGGCAGAGCCAAACTGCTGGTTTTGCCAGATCCCACCATACCTTGTCCTTGTTGTCTTCTAGCCAATTGCGTAACGTGTTGAGAACAGCCTCCGCAGCAGCCTCATTGGGGTAGCCTGTGGAGAACGCGGGGAGTTTGCTGAATATCTGGGGCGGTTAACCCTGCCCGCCTCTCTCTCTCTCTTTCCTGCCTTGGTACTTACCAAAGACCCCAGTGGAAACGCAGGGAAAGGCCTGTGGGCAGAGAGAGAGATGAAGAAGGAGGTTAAGGACGGGGGCTTCCCTCGAATACGGAATGATCCCAGACTTTGGCTAAAACTTTTCTCTCGCGTTACAAAGGTGAGAAAAGGAGTAAATCCGGTCTTGTGCAGGAGGGACAATAGATAACGTACCCAGAAATCGCAGTTGAATTGGTCTCGATCAGCTGTAAAATGTAAATTCTTCCGTCCTTCCCTCGTAATCTCCCTCCCCCCCCCATGTTTTGGATGGTGTTTTCCTCAGGGTCTCCAATTCGAGCAGGTGGCTGGACTAGAAGACCTCCAAGGGTCTCTTCCAGCTCTGTTATTCTGCAAATGTGTTGGACTACGGTATCCGTGTCAGTGTTAAATCATGAGCCTCGAGCCAAGCTTCAAAAGAAATCCAGTCATTTATCAGGAGCAACATGTCGGCAGGTACCCAAGTGAAGCCAGCTCTGACCCCATGTAATTTACGGCCCCAATCATCATCGTTCCCCTCCCCTTTCCTATGACAACTCAAGAGCAGGCCAGGGCTGCTTTGCGAGTTGACATTCGGTCCCCCTCACTTCCTGAAGGCGAGTTGTGCAAAGCAAAAACAATTTGAGTACAGGGATAGATTAGGGTTCAGGCTACCTGGGCCTTGTAGGTGATAAGTCGGTGCCCCTGAAGGGGGCAAAGCAGGGCCTTCTCAAACCTTTGCTAAAGACCTCTGGATCTCCTGCCATCCATCAACAGTGCCAGATGGACTGATAGTTAACAGCTGCTCATCTGGAAAGACTCCGGAGCATCCCTGGCTTGCGTGCTGGAACTGATGTCTCCGGCCTTTCATTGGGTACAAACCCCAATTGGAGGGTTAGCTGGAGAGCCCACGTCCTTTCCCTTCCCTCTGGTCTTCCCCCCAAGAGCTCTCGAGTTGGAGACGGTCATTTTAGCCAGTGAATTTTATTGTGTTTCAGGCCATGGACCTGAATAGAGCAGAAGAGACTGGGAACAAATGAAATTGGCTGCTTACTTCCCAAGCTAAGCAGAGCTGGAAGGGACCTTGTAGGTCATCTAGTCCAACCCAATGCCCAAGCAGGAGACCCTACACCATTTCTGACAGAGGACACTCCAGTCTCTTCTTGAAAGCTTCCAGGGACGAAGTTCCCACAACTTCAGAAGGCAACTTCTGTTCCATGGGTGGATTGCTCTCACGCTCAGAAAATCTCCTTAGCAATACTTAGAAATGGATGAATTAGATCCATGTTTTGCTACTGTGTGGAGCTCAACTCCCAGAAGCCCCTGCTGGCTGGGGGATTCTGGGAGTTGGAGTTCATCTCTCTTCAACGTAGCCAAGATCGAGAAACGCTGATCTTATTCCTCCATTTCTGAGTAGCGTTTAATGAGACAGACATCCTCACGACCTCCCCGTGTTACAGACGCCAGCTCCCATTGCCTCCAGCTCGAGGGACGAGCAGTGTTGGCAAGTGCTGCTGAAGGGAGGTGGGGGGACCACAAGGTGATCCGTCCCCCCCTGTTTGGTCTACTCACCACTGTCTGCAACTTGTTCTCCAGTGCAAGTTTCAAGCTGTTCTTGTAGCAGTCTGCGAGTTGGGTCTGCTGGGAGGAACTGGGCTCCCCCTGGGCGATGGGCCCCACGGTGTGAATCACAACTGGAAGGAAAAAGCAGGGTGTTGCTAGAAGCAGCCCCCGAAGCCCCCCTCCCTAAGTTGCTCACAGATCTGGGTGAGAGAGAAGCACAGACTCTCCCCCCCCCCCCCACCGCCTCTCATGGAGCAGAGCCAAACCGACTTTGCGGTATCCTTCAAATATTTTTACAAATTAGCAAATGAGAGCTTGAAAATAATTCTCTCCGTATCCTATGAGGGGTGTGTGTGTGTGTGTTTCCCCCTCCCTAAGCCACAGCCATTCATCCTGCTTTAATGGAGCCGTTCTTGGAGCCGTTCCACTTTGCTTTCATCCGGCCTGCACTTAGCCACTCACTTATCCAAGCGGCTGGATCCCTTTGTGAAAATGAAGTTTACACCCGCAAGCAAATCCAGCCTCGGAATGACGGTCGTTCCCTTTGGGCTCCTTTGGCACGGCCAGATAGGAACCTTAACGAGGAACCGATCGTTACAAGCTTGGCTTCTCCCCGGCCATCCTTTCCCCAAGNGAGGACAGGAAGGCCTGGAGGAACGTGGTCCAGGGGGTTGCAATGGATCGGACACAACTTCACAACTCACAGCAGCAACATCCGTCTCCAAGGCCGCCCAGCCAGATTCCTTGTTTCCCAACAAAGATGCCCTCCCTCGCTCACTTAGCCGCTGATGAACTCCGAGCTGTATTTACGAGCCTCTGATTAATACGCATCTGCCTCATTTGCTTAATTCCTTTTTATTAAGAATTAAGCAAACGACTTTGAACACGGAGGAGGCCAATTTCCCCCTGCTCTCCGCAAAGGGGACGGTGGAGGCGGAAATATTCCCTTCGCCTTTTTTTAAAATTATTATTCCTTTGCCCCCACCTTGCCGTGCCTCCGAGATACAATCCCACTTGGGGAGGGGGCTTCTGTTTGGATGACTTTACAAGTCACCAGAGTCACGACAATATTTTAACTCCAATATTTGGGAGTTCTTTTAACTCCCAACTCCAGAAAGGAGGACACGGGACCAAATCTGAGGGCTAGTTTGTTTTAGAGGGGAGGGCCTTTCGGCTAGAAGGTTAAAGGTTAAAGGTTTATTGCATTTATATGCCGCCCTATTCCCGGAGGGACTCAGGGCGGCTAATAAACCCGGGGGGGGAGGGGTAGTACACACAAGGTAACACAACAAACAAAGTTTAAAAACAATCAACAGTCACACAATTTGAGCGGGGAAGGGAAGCTATCCTCCTGTGCGCAAGGAGTCCTCGACATGCCCATAATGGAGCTTGCCCATCATAGTCATAAAACGAGGCACCCACCTGACCAACCCAATTTCATGAACTTTTGTTTCGTATCTGTTGTTAAGTGGGTGCCGTGGTCACTCTGGGCCGGGTTGTTGGCTGAAAACTGGAAATAAATGCTGTCCCCTCCCCCTCCCCTGGCAAAAATGGTTTAAAGCGAAGTCATGTGATGGTAAAGACAACGCAAACAGCCATTAAGCCACAATGAGCCGCAGTGGCGCAGTGGTTAGAGTGCGGTACTGCAGGCGACTTCTGCTGCCTGCCGTTTGCCTGTCGTTCGAATCTCACCAGGCTTAAGGTTGACTCAGCCTTCCGTCCTTCCGAGGTGGATAAAATGAGGACCCAGATTGTTGGGGGGGGCAATATGTTGACTCCACCCTTTGTAGCTAATGCCCCGCCCCTCTTGAAGCTCCACCCTCTGCAGCTGATGCCCCACCCCTGCTAAAGCTCCACCCTCTGCAGCTGATGCCCCACCCCTGCTAAAGCTCCACCCTCTGCAGCGGATGCTCCGCCCCTGCTGACGATGCTCTTCC